CCCATAGGCCACATTGGGCTAGTCGTCTGTTTTGGTGCAGTGAATGTGAAATGGGTTTTACCTTTTTTAAGGGCTGTAAAATCAAAGAAGAATATGCAACACAGACTGTATATGACCTGCAGAGTATATACTATAAGTATATAGATAAAGTATAAAGATAGTCACTACCTGACCCTTTATAAAAAAAGTGTGCCCACCACTGTATAAAAGGTCCCCAGGACCACCTCCTTCGGAGTCTCCATGTGGCCCTGGGAGGCTACTCACCTCGGCCTGCCTTAGAGGGGCCACGATGCTGGAAGGGGTGCTCTGAACTGGCTGAGGAGGGGGGTCCGTGGGGAGAGAAGGGGACCAGGGCCCAGACCAGGCTGACAGTCTGAGGGCGGAGGCTGATGCGTAGGCCCCAGCTGGCGTGGCTCACAGAGAGCTCAGTAATACGGACCCTTCCAACCCACAACCTCAGAGACCCTCAGAGGCCCTCTGTTCAACACTCACAGTGTGCAGATGGGGAAACTGAGGCCCAGAGAGGCAAAGGCGTGCTCAGGGCAAATGTGCAGATTCCACGCCCAGGGCTCTTTCTCCTACCTTCCCTGTCACATTGTGGAAGGCTTCCCACCCTGCTCAGCCCAGTACTATGGGTCATCTCCTTGGCTTATTTGTTCTTTCAGTCGACATTAACAAAGGGCTGGTAACTTGATGCTCCAGCACTGGGGTGCAGAGGTGGAAAGGCAGCAGGAGAGGAGGTGGCCTGCCCAGAAAATATAGTTGGTGGTCACGGTGCTCTGGGGTTCCACGCCGGACAGCAATGCTTGGGGGAGGGGGCTCGCTTCTAGAAGAGGGAACAGAGGTCATTGTCTTGGCTGTGTCAGAGAGGCGCTAAGAACTGCACATCTGCCCTGGGGCTGGCTGTGAGGAGACATGGCAGGAAGCAAGGCTGGAAACAGGGTCACGCTCAGGGCTTGGGGGTCGGTCGGAAGACCGCTGCAACGCATCTTTTAAACTGGGCAATGGTCAGCTGGATTTGTGTTTTAGGAAGCCCGCTCTGGTTCCCGCCCGGAGAAGGGATGGGAAGAGGGGCCGGAAGCTGTTGCAGTCCATTGAGGAAACGGAGGGAAATCCATGATGTTCCTGGTGAGGGATGCGAAGGAGGGATGTCTTCCTGGTCCATAAACCAATTGTGAGTGGGCTTTTCTTGAGCTGCTCATTTGCTTTTTAACTTTAAACTTGTGTAAGGAAGCAGGCTCTCCTTTCCATCAGTTGTGGATTCTAACCCAGGTCCATGTACTGACAGGGGGCTATGGATAGAATTGCTACTGACCTCTAACTAATGGCAATTTCTTCAGTTATGCAGGAGGCAAAACAAAATCAAAGCCTACTGTGTTATTAGCAGTGGCTGTAACTTCGTCACATATATTTTTACGTTGCACTGCAGTCATTGTAGATTTCTTGAAGTGTATTTTATGCCCATCAGTATTTCAAAATTCCAGTAGTTATTAGACCCATGTCATTAGATCTTGTGATTTAATGTGTTAGTAAGGTAGTGTGTGGTGTGTGTGATAAATTCGATTTTTGATATTTTGATAACTATGTTTTAATATGATTGGTTTCCTTTGTAATTCTTGCAGTTTATTCTCGGCATTTAAAGACTTTATTCCAAGAAGGGGTCCCCAGTAGAAGTCCATCCCCCTCCCCTCAAATCCCCCACCCTGGTTTGCAGTTCATCCACCTGCAGCCCACACAGGCGTTCAATGTGCAGCTTCTCTTCTGGAAGCTTCTTTTTTTTTTTTTTTTTTTTTTTTTTTTTTTTTTT